GCCCTAAAGAACCATCCAAAGAAACATTTTCACTTGATGAGGGTCTTTCCAAAGCCAAATCCTCTTCCAATTCTGAGGAGAAATTGTTACATGGTACTAACCTTGAAGGGTAGTGTACATCGATTTAATTGAGAAGCAACCATCAAAGGAAGGAAGCCACAAAGGTTGATCCTCCCCATTCTCAATAATTGGGGTGGGATATAGCAACACATGTTGACGCACTTCCAAGGGAAAGAATTTCTACACGTAGCGAGTATTCCAAAGTCCATCGCTATTAACATAATCACAAACTTTCCCATTAACTTCTTGAATAGATGGTTTATTATGCACAAGACATAAAGAGTAGTACCTAGAGTGATCCAAAAATCCAACCAAAAACCAACAGACCTTCTAGCGCCAACCTGCCACTTGATATTTTGGATAATCATCACCTTAACAACAGTAATCCCTTTCCGTAAATGTGATCAATTAGTTACCCTAACCTTAATCTCGAGATGAGCCCATTTCCACATTTATACTTGCTCCAAAGAACCTGATCTCAAAGCTCCAATTTATTGATAATGAACTGCCACACCACCTTCGTCAATAAGGCCTTGTTAAATAAATTCAAGTTGAGAAAACCTAAGCCACCATAAGGCTTAGGCTTACACAACCATGAAATAGTATGTCACCCCATGCTATTCAAATTAACTTTCTAGACAAAACTTTGTTGGATGCTCTTAAGTTTGTCATAGATTCCTTTCAAAACAAGGGTAGACTGCATAGTGTACACAAGCATTGCTTGAATGACGCTCTGAGCCAACATGACCCTCCCAGCAAATTAAAGATAGGTTAGTTGCCTTCCAAAATGAAAGTCTATGTTGAGCTCGGTGAACAATATGCTAGAAGCGACTTTAGTCTTCCTAGCATGCATATGGGGAAGACCAAAATACTTCCCAAGGTTCACAATAATCTTAAACTTTATCGTGCCACGTAACTCAATCCTACTATTGTGCTTAACCCCTTTGGAGTAAAACACCGTAGTTTCAGTTCTACTAAGTTAGTGAACGAGTCCAAGCACTCAAATACAACACTTGTTTGATCTCTAGAAGCTTCCCCAAATAATAAGAGATCATTCATGAAGAAGAGGTGTAAAACATCCATCCCCTTTTATTCAAGATGAGAGGATTCGTACAACCATAATCCACCCTTTCTTAGATAAGATGAGTCAATCTCTCCATGTAGAACACAAAAATATAAAGAGAGACAAAATCCCTATGTTTAAGGCCTCGCTCAGGTTACTATGGTGTAAAATCTATCAACAAAATTTTTCCTTTAGCTACGACAATATTTAAAAGTGTGTAAATTAAATTTTTAATCTCTATTTTTATCTTGTAAAAAAGATAAAACAAGATATATTATATAAAAATAGGACAAAAATAAAATAAAATTTAAATATTATTAATAATAATTATCACATCTTTACATACTTACTATTATATTATAGTCGATATTACAATTTTATTATTTAATAAATAAACATGAAATAGTTAAACTAAAATTAAAAATGAAAATATAAAATTGCCAATTAAATATAATTGAAAAAGAAAAAAAACTCTCTCGTGTCGTGTGCCAATGTTTAAGCTAACCCCAAGCAAAACTTCATTTCTTGTCTCACCTGACCCTCAGATCAATTAAGTAATCACTCTGCTATACACTCTGTAATATCAATTCATTTTAGGCATTACCTTAAACTAAGACCTGCAATTCACACAAAAACTTTTTATTTCCATTTTGCCCTTTTGCTTTCTCAGTTTTGAATCTTTCCCTCTTTTCATTCCACCTCAAAAATGTAATTTAATTTTCCTCCTCACTTATCTATTACATTTAAATGTTCACGGACTATAAGGTTTAGTGTAATACCTATTAAGGGCTGTTTTCATATCTTACATTTTGGGTTTGTTTGTTTTGGATTGTACCGTAATGGGTTTTAATGGATGCTTGGGATTGTATTAAAATTATGCATGCGTTAGAAACTTGGGTCCCGTGAAAAATTCATCTTTGCAATGGAAAGTAACTCTTTCTGGTTTGCAGCATTTTTATGAATTCAGGATAAAGAAGTGGCTTCTATTGACCCTCCAGTCATACTATTCAATGATGCTGTTATGGATAATTTTGTTGAAGACAGGACAAGTCTGTTTTTGTAGTTAAGAAATTTGTTCCAGCAATTAAAGTGAGCTGTGAAAAGCGCACACACTGTGATTTCAAGAGCAGATACAGCTTCTTTCAAATAAGAAGCCTTTAAAGTTGAGCTCCTTCCATGGAAGGTGAGAAAGAATTCTGAAGGAATCTTGGGAAAATCCAGATGAGCTTGTTCAATTGTGTGTTGAGATTGATTTTAATAGAATTTGTGTAATTGTTCAGGAGACTTTCAGAAAAGCAAGTTTTGTGGTAGTGAATGTAGATCCTTGTCTGCTTTTGGATGTTATAGTTATACGATGGATATTACTATTTGGTACCATTTTAACAATCTTTCAGGTATGTGCTTAGGGGTGAGCAACGGGTGGGTTTGGTCGGGTTCGGGTGAAAAATGTCCAACCCGTTGTAAATCGACTTTGAAAAAATGTGACCCATATCCGACCGACTGAGCTTTCGATTTGAGGCGGTTCGGGTTGAAACGGATTCGGATTTAAGCGGGTGGGTATAATCGGGTTTGAATTTTTTTGTAGACCAATTTATCTTAACGAAGATGAAACTTAAAACGATAAAAAATATTTTTAAAATAGTGTATAAAAATAGAATGAAGGTGACAATAGATGGTGTAAATAGATTCGTAGTTGAAACATTTACAAACTAAAGAAGCAAAAATAAAAGATAACAAAATTCATAGTTGTTACATGGAAAAGAAATATAAAGTTAGATTACAAAATCATAAGAAATCACAGTCACACAAAATGTACTCAAAATGGAGATAAGAAGATGGAAAAGAAAGACAAAGAAAGAAGCAAAAAGATAACTCTAAAAATGGACTAGTGTGTTGAGAAGTTGAATGAGGAAGGAGAAGACAAAATAAATATCTAAGTTATGAGAAAAAGGAAAAAAATAAGTTACAAATTGATGGCTATATTATAGTTGAAATAAAGACTTTTAAATTTGGACCATTGTTGTTTAGTTATACAAAAGTAATAAAAATTTAAACTTATCTCATTTTCGGTTGGGTTCGGTTTTTAGCGGATTTAAAAATTCAAAACCGAACCCGCCCAATATAACCCGTATAAAATCAAAATTTTAACCCGATTTACCCATAAAACCCGCCCGAACCCACCCAAAAACAATATTTTTTTTCGGGTTTTTCGGGTTCGGTTCGGGTTTCGGTTTAATGCTCACCCCTGTGCTTATATCATTTGCCTTGTAAATTAATTGGTGATTCTTTTTTATTCAGTTTGCAATATTATGACGTTGGGTTGAATATATCATAAAAATGTTGTTGATATTATAAAGGAAAAGGTAGGAAAGAGAGAAAATGTTTTTCTATGGGATGATATTAGACGTGTTATGAAATGCTAACCTAGTACACCTATTTATGCTCTCCCTCTCTGCATTGTGCTTTTGCAATATGTTCTTTGTTTCCTTGTAGTATAACAAATTAACAATAGAATAATTACAAAGTATAACAATAGAATAATTTTCTCTTTGTGAAATGGCTAGCTAGTAACCAGAAATTCAACATTTAAGTATGTGCCTTTATTATTCATTCCGTTTTTTCAATTATAATTTTCTACTATTATACTGCATGCTTTGAGATATATGACCTGCTCATCTAATATGTAAACTTATTACTGTATTGAGGAACCAAGGTTTGCGATGACTTTGTTCCCCCTTCCACTTTCACTTCCGTGGAGATATGCATAAGTAAAATACTGAATAGCTAAAATTAGGGGAGATTTGAGGTATGTTTGGAAGTGTAGTTCTGGTGGGAAAGGAAAGGGAGCGTAAAATTTCCATTTCTATTAAACATTCTATAATTTGATAACTTTTAGAATAAAATGTATAAAATGATATATTAGCAATAGCCAATAGCATAAACTTAATATCTTAATCCTGGCATATTATCTTATCCTTAATATCTCATACGAATTTAAAAGTAAAATATTTGCTCTCTTTGCTTTTTGGCCAAAACCCTACTCCCAAAAATACCTTTTGAAGTTTGTCCTGTGAAGCTCATATATGACTTGGGAGAAGACTAAAAAAATAACCGGTCTTTTGATGTATGAGATGTTTTATATTCAGTTCCAAACTGTTGTATGCATATATGGTTAAATCTCATGTTTATCCTACTGACTATTTTTGTTTTATGAATTTAAAATATAGTGGAAGTCACTTGCTGATTATTCATTGGAAGAAATTGAAAAGTGGATGTATGAACTATCTTCACTGGGGATGCAATGATATGAAAACTTGAATCTATTTTTATCATCAGTGATTGTTACTACTACGAATCTCTGTTTACTTGGCTAAAACCTTTAAGTTTATTTTTAAAATATAGAAAATTGGTGGGGATACAATTTTAGCACCACTTCTGTTCCATAGAACTTCCTAGGCAATAGTTTGAAACTGTCAGCCATTTCTTTGGATTGGATTGACTTCAAATATGAAAATAATACTGAGGTTCATGTTGAATATTGATCCATGCACAACTGTATAAAAGTCCATAGAGAGGGAGATACAGGGAAGGGGCCAGCACCTTGCCTTGTAAGCTAGTTATGCAGAGAACATGTCATGTCCTGAACTTGAAGTTTTTTTTTTTTTTTTTCATTTTGTTTATGCTCTTCATGGGTATTAAAAGTTTTGAGATGCTTCCTGAATCTTCTTGGGCAGAGACCAGAAAATGAAGTATTAGCCTTTTTTTCCCCTTTTTTTGAGGAAAATTACCAGAAATATTGAATGGAAGGAAGCATATAATCAAGAATTGAGGATTTAAACACAACTGGAGGAGCTGATACTAACAAAAAACAAACAGATGAAAATTTGCTAAAAGCAGGTAACACATGTGCTGGTTTATGAATATTAACTGTCTTCAAATGGCCCACAATAATATGAATATCACTGTAGATATACAGAAAAAGGGATCTTACTATGGTGAACTTAAAACAGCTGTAATTGAACTTAAAAGTATCATGTCATTGATATATACATTTATCTTATTCTTTACATGTATTTAGTCAACATACACTATAAATACATGCAAAAAGATTATTGTAGACATTAATGCTCATGAGTTTAGATAGGAAATAAAATTTAAAATGTCTATAAATTAGCTTATCCCCCCTTCCTCCATCTTAACGTATAAGTATAGGTAGAAAAGAAAGTTGACAGATTAAGGATGAAAATTATTTCTTAAACTGATTAGCCAGAAGTCCTACTTGGGAAACAGCAGTTGTCTGCAATGCTTACCAGAATGGTTAGCTAGTTCACTTCTCACAACTTCAGTTATCAAATCTTTGAAGATCAACCTTTCAATATCCAGCACGACATCTGGTATTGCACTGTAACTTTTTGTGTAAATTGTGGGGCAGTGCATAATCTCTTCCCACAGGAGATTTGCCAAATTCTCATCCTCATTATCCAGGTTGACATTCCTATTTCTATGCTGTAATTTATCAATTTCTGTGCAAAGCTCATCCAAAAGCAGCTGTCCTCTTAGTTTTCTACCTGCTGGCTGATCTGGTTGGCACCACAGAGTAGTACTTTCAAATATTAGTTTCTGAGCTAGAATGTCATTAATGACATCAAATATCAGCTTTCTTTGCATTTGATCAGGACTATGCAGCCCAGCAATCTTCTTGGCATTGTTTTCAATATCGAAACCCATTTTGTTTGTCTTGATTTGCTCTAGTGCAAGGAACAACTTTGGGTTTATAGGATAGCTTGATGAATGAAAAACCTGGTTAGAGCTTGGATTGCTGAGTAGCCCTGATGCTAACAGTATTTCTGATACATATTTATGGTCTGGATCTTTATCATCTCTGAAATTGGTCAATCTCTCATCATTGTAGTCAATTTGTTGAAGAAATTGGACCAAATTTTGAGTTTTCAAGTAAGTATCATTAATTCCACTACTGAAGTTGGCTTTTGCACTGTTGGATGAAAGAGGAAGGTCTTCTGAGTTCTCCTCACTACTATCATAAGTATTCAGAGCTTCATCTGTAGCAATAAGTTTGAAGAAAATCAAAATGTGACAAAACCTCCTTTCCTAGGATTTTGTTCTGAATGGCACCAAAAGTGGATTTGGTGTAATGATTCATTATACAGTTGATTTTAGACTGATTTGACATTCAATCTATGTTGATTAGAAATGAAGTGTGCAACATACCTAAATCTTTTGAGATGTCTGATTTCTTTTTAACTGGAGAAGGTGGTTCTTCTCTGTAGAAAGCGGCATCAAGAACAGACACAGGACTTGGTTGTTCTGCCGTAATTATTTTCTCAGCCATAAAGCTTTCCTGGCTCAGATCTTTTCCCGCATTCTGATCAACAAAAGAATATTAAACCAGGTGATTTAGTTTGCAAGAATTCAATGATGGGAGGAAGAACTGCTTACATTTTGATCTAGGCTTTTTAGCTGGATGGAGTTGCCAATGATCTTATCAGAATGATCAATGTGAATGATTTCTACATCACGGCTGTATGAGTCCATGCTTCTCTTACTGCCAAAATCTGGTGAAAAAACATCAACTTCATGCTTAAAATCCCTCCTTTGATTGCTGATATCACTGAAATGTTCATTTTTTTTCTGCAAAGTAGAGGACTTTTTTCTGGGTGTTGTACTTGGGGAAGACAATTCCACTGATTGCCTATTGTGTTGTCTTCTGTTATTGCTGGAATCTGATGATGGGCTAGTTGGCAGAGAACGCTTCTCCAAACCAAACTTCTTTTGTAGTCTTGGGCTCCTAGCCTCTGCTGTATTGCAAGAGTTGGTGGCATTTTCTCCATTAATTTGAGGAACTTTTGAGGATTGCATCAATTTTGAAGTTTTCATCTTACTACTCTTATCCACTGAATGAAAGGGTTGGCTGATGGGATTCTTGGCATGTCTGATTGCTTGACTGATACCTTTTGCTGTTTGCCTGTCAAGCTTGTCAACCAATATTCCATTTGCAGGGTTACCAGGGCTAAACTTGTTGGGGCTTGATTTACCATGCAATGACATTTCTGTGAAGGCAGGATTATTGGTTTTTCTTGTAGCTTTCGCTGGTTTCATGATGAAAATTGGTGATTTACTACACTGGCTTGAATTTGACATCTCAAGAGTGGTGGATGTTGGGTCCTTCTGTCGCATTCTTGGGCTTTGTAAAATTGAGGTTTCACTGAGACTGCTATTACTCCTATTGTCGGACGGAAAATTTGAAGCCTGATCTGTTTTTGTATCTAATGATTCTTTATATCTCTGCATTGCATCAAGAATCTGTTTAAGGGCTCTGAGATCCTTTCCAGAATTTTTGAACTCTAGATCTGCTATCCTCTTTTCAATTTCCCCATATACAGAGAGGGACAGGTTTGATGCTTTTGCAGAAGATTCACTTCTCTTGGAAGCCTGTAATTGAGAACCTTTGCTTGCTTCAGGTTGCCTCCATGGAGTTGGTTCGAGGGAAAACCGTGAATGTGGTGTCATGTTCAGGATTGAAGCATCCCTCCTAGACTCATGCAAGGTAGACCCCTTGTTTGTTCTCAGGGATGCTTCACCTTGGTGCAGCTCGTACTTACTATCTGCAAAGGTCTCATTTTTGTTGGTGGGGCAGCCAGAGATCCCTCTTGGAGTATCACAAGTTTGTGCACAGTCTGGGAAGGCTTCTAGTCCCATTAACCTTGCTACAACACTGGATGGTCTTCTAGAAGTTTCTGCTTCCTGCAGCTGCTTAAGCATTGTGCTTGAGCTACCATACCCTTTCTGTGGACCCTTTAAAAGGCTGCGAGATTTTGTTCCTTCATTGAAGCTTTTGATGGACCCTTCTCTGCTATCCAAGGAAAGCCTTGGAAGTTCCCTAGGCTTTGTAGCAGATTTGAATGTGTCTTGTGTATCCCTCCCATCATAAGAGAGTCTTGGAGAATCCCAAGCAGCCATAACTCTTGTATTGACAGATTTTGGAGACTCCAAAGGCCTTGGAGAGTCAATGTATTTCAAGATACGACCCTTCTTTTCCTCTTTAGCCACAGTTCTCACTGACAATCCATGAACATCTCTATGCATTGATTCTTTGACAATATCATAGAAATCAAGGGATTGATGGCCTTGGTTGCCTTGCTTCATTGCTGCTGCTGCTGAATTAGAGTTTTCTGGAATTTTGATTTGACTGATGGATGGTGGTTCTATATGAATTGTTCTGTTAAACTCAAGGGATGACATGCTAGATGAACGAGACGATGAAGACATTGAAGTTCCTGATGATTCTGTGGAGAATTGTTGATTCTCTCTTGCAACCTTCACATTATTTGCCTGCAATCATGCTCACATTCTTAACTGACTCTGCCAAGTTTCTTTAATGATAGATAAACTAATTTTGTCTACGTATCTTACCGTTGCCTTTTGAGTTGCATTATTCAGCTCTTTGATGTGGTTGTTGGTTCCATCTGATAAAGGAAAGAATTTTAGTAGGAAGTAATTTGAAATATCTTGTGAAAAACTTAACCACAATTAGCATATCATACTTAAATTCTTTCCGAAAAATATATTGACATGTTTACACATCTTTAAGCTTCAAAGAAAGTAACATTTAATCTAAGATGAATGTAATAAGTTAATATATTAACACAGCGTTAAATAATGTGTTATTAATTTATTTAATTAAGCAATAATAATATATTAGCTTAATACACCTAATTTAAATACATCAATCATGTTAATACAATAATTTGTCTATATATGTCAAGGATGAGTTGAGCATAAGGTGCTACCATTATTGTTCGTCACAAAAATGAGGATGTTTTCGTACAAGGATCTGAATATTTTTTTTAATGAAAAAATCTGAACCTGAAATGTACATATTTACACTAATATATTTTTTTAGCGCTTACTATTACTCTTACTACTATTAATAATAATACTTTTATTTTTTGCAGAACCATGTTCTAGCTACCTGGGAATGTATAAAGTCTGAATTTGTTTGTATTTAATTAAATTATTTGTTTTACCAGCTTCTTCAGACGCATTAAAAAGAAACAATTATTTTTCCATAATTATTTCAACCAACCATTCACGTATATTAAATGAGGAAAATGGAATAATTGCGGGGGAATTATAAGGTACAAACTCAAATAAATAAATAAAAGTATAGAAAATTATCTGCACCTCTGGCGCTGCAGAAGAATGAAAGTTGTCATTCTAAAAAATTTAATATTCAAACAAACATCTGAAGGAGTAAATTATCAGCAGATTATTGAAAAATTCATACCTTGAAAACTTTCAGGGATTCATATTCATATAAAATGGAAATGATTTCTCTATGAGTTTGACACCAGGATTTTACTTGGAAAATACATCCACGATTTATTCGCAGCCATTTCATAAAAAGTTTTGTTTTGTCTTGTTACTACTTGCAGTTAAAGAACTTTTACTAGTTACCAGTTACCACCCTTCTCATCCCATCATAAAAAATAAAAATAAAGCTAAAGAAAAATAACTAATAAGAAAAAACTATGTGACATTACATCACTGACATGTTGCAAGTTGATTGGGCCAGTCCAATTAATGTTGAAAGAAAGCGATTTCACACTCAATATCCATGTCAATCAAATTTGTCAATTAGTCCTGTTTATTAACGCATGTCAATAAAAATTTGTCAATTAGTGCAGTTTATTTCAAAATCAAAATCGCCATATATATTAAAAGATGTATCAAGTTAACATTAATGCTATCAACAGAATCACCATCAAAATGCATATATAACAAAACAAAAAAAGTATTGCAGATTGATCACCTTTAGTTGGTGTGTTCTGATTGTTGCTGCAACTGCGTTGGCCTGTGAGGAACCTGTGGCGATCAAACAGCTGAAAAAACCCACTGATGCACCCAATTTGCTTATGCAAATCTGGATTTTCATCCTTCATTGATGTCAAAACCTTTCTAGACATTCTCTTTTGCCACCTTCAACTTTTGAGAGTTCACAAGGCCTCACTTATGTAACTACCATTCTCCCTCACACAAAGAAGGTAGAAGAAATCAAAGACCTTTTGTTTTGGGATAAAATAATTTGAAATATGTTAAGGTAATTCGGTGTGTGTTTGGAACTACGTTGAGTCAGTCAAATTTTGCCTCCAAGACTCACGTCAAAGGAGAAGCTACATATATTAGCTTCTGGCTTTTCATGTTTTGGATCCACGCTTAATGGTTCTGACACAGGCTATGAAGGAGGAATTGGCCTTCAGGTTCAGAGAAGATTCTAAAAAAATGATAAATTGATGATATTGGTGCAATGACTAGAACTTGCATTAAGCAGTATGAACAAGACTCGGTCATGCAAATTTCATGCTTATATGTGTTACATTACATTACATGTGTGTGTGGATGTGAAGAGAATGTCCAATGACCTTGAATGGAACAAAGAGATAAACAAAACATAAAACTGCATGAATTGGATGTTGGATGTTGGATTTTCACATAGCAGAGATGAGAATATATCCGCTGCAAAAGCAGAAGGAACAAAAAGAAGTGAAAAGCAAGCAATTCCAAAGGGATGAAGCACAAAGAAGAGGGAAGTTTGAGAGACCCAAGAAGAGATGTTTTCGTTTGTTTAACTGAGCAGAGGAATATTTTTATCTTTCTCTTGCAGAGGAGGAGGCTAAAGTGTGTGTAATGGTGTGTGTATATGAACTATGAAGAGGGTAAGTGTTGAAAAATTGGCTCCTATGAATAAATAAGTCCTAGTGATGGATTTTATAATTAGATTACGTAAGAGAGAGGTGAGTGCATGTTGTATAAAGAGTTGAGAAGAAAAGAGAGGGAGGTGTGTGAATGCGTGGGTCAGAGATCTTAGCACTTGTATGGAGACACAATAACGTGGGTGGGTCTCTGCCTTAGGCCTCTTTCCATAACCATGTGGAGTTTGTCAGAAGGAGGGAAAAACAAAAAGAAAACAGGTATACTTTGGTGTGCTTCAATCTTCAATGATCTTATACCAGCTTTAGTGGTCAATTTATGTATTATTATCATTCTTGTTATTTTAAATATTTACTTATTGAATACATTATTATAAGATTGCTCTAATTTAATGTAGTTTCAACTTTCAAATTCAAGATTTCAATTATTTTTGTTTCATTGATATATTTTTTTTTATCAAGATTTCGATTATGTAACTGTATTAAGTTTTTAAAGTAAAATTTATCAATAATAATTCTACTCAACTTAAGTAAAAAAGAATCATAAAATATATATGAGTCTATATCTAAAAATACAAATATTTAATATGAATATAATAATGTATAAATTAAATTCCTGAATTTTATAAAAGTAAGCCTTTAATTAGTGTATATTGAAAATTAATGTAATTTTTTATTTACATAGTTATTGATTAATAAATTTTCAAATATATAATTAATTTTTTTTAAAATTTTATGATAATTACTTTAAAAGTTTATATTATTCTTTTTCATTATCAAGGGGTATTTTCGGACGAATTCAGGAAATTTTCTTTAAGAATTTGACAAACATCAAATAGGTGAACATCCTCTCTCAGTTTGAGTTTTTTACATTCGTTAAAATTACTATTCAAGCCTTAATCACTTGATTATACAACATGAATCTCTCGTCACTCGCATCAATCCAAATTGATTAGTGTTTTATATTATTTAAGATAATTTTAATTAATTAATAATATAATACTTGCTAGATTGTTATACTCGGCACTTAAAAATAGATTGGTATTTACACCAAATTTAACAATTAGGATCAAATTTATTAAAAAAAAAATTCATGTAATAACTTTTTACAATAATTTTAAAAAAAATCACAGGATCTTTTTGATAACCCTCTTACATATTAGGAAGAAAAGTGTTGAATAAGAATTACTTTAAAAGTGAATATTTTTATTTAATATTTTCCGTAAAAGTTATTAAAAAAATAATAAGTAAGCATAATAGGAAGGTACGTATAACATCATTCAAACTATTATTGAATAAATATTTCATCAAAATGTTTGTTTAAAATTGGTTTAGTAGCAAAAGAAGAAACTGTTTAGATTTCAGTATGTGGAATATTCCTGCAGATTATTTAAAGCCTTGTTCAACCACTCCCATACATATCTCACTTTAACCAAATTGCTTTTCGATCTTTCCTTACTTGGGACCTGACCTCAAAATGGAGCTTATACGATATTATTAGTTCATTTTGCAAAGAGAATACACAAGAACATTGCAATGATTCAAAGCGGAGTTTAATGCTTGAATGTTGCATTTTATCATAGATTTAGCAAATTAATTACACAGCTGGATCAGTAGCATAAATAAGCCTACATATTGTAAGGTCAATATATTAACTTAACCCTAAACAAGAATTGGAAAAATGGGAACTGAAGTGCACACCGTAACATTAATTGCTTTAATGTATTATACCAATCTTGCCAGCAGCAACAATGGGATGACTCCAAGGCTGTGTTTGGCTGTGTGCTTTATTGTAGCTATACATTTCAGAAGTGTGGTCCAATGTGTAGTCACAACTATCATGCAGGGCCAGACAGGTACTAACTCATGAACAGGTTTGGACCATTAGCATTTTCCAAAACGTTGAAATAGAGAGTGTATATATGTAAAATCAAAGTTAGAGGGAACCCTTTGGAAAATACATCATTTTCGCCGCAAGGTTTTGGTCCCTTGTTACCACTTCTGCCAGACAGGATCACATGTTGTTAATTTAGTGCGACATCTTTTCAGTCATTAATATTGGATGAGTTAGATTTCACTTGTATGTGTGTAGAAGTTTACTAGCTAGTGGCAAAGCTCGTATTCGTATCAGGAGGGGGGACATATATATACAACATGCTGAAGTAACATAAACCAGTATCGTCATTGTGAAGGATTAGAATTGTTGTTGCCAAATTGTCCTTGGAGTAGTGTGTTTCATTTGAGAGTGTTGGATTTAGAAGGAAAATGAAGGAAGGATAATTTTTTTGTTTATAATCTCAAGAGAGTTGTGTAATTAATGTTTGTAAAAGTGAGCAAAATAAATATTAATACATTATTCACTTTATGATAACTTATCATTTTATTTCTTTCTTTTTAAAAATTATTAAACTGAAAATATTTATTAAAAACGAAAAAAAAGTATATCCTTTCTCTTTATCGAAATCCAATCTCAAACATTCCCCTATGGTATGCATATTTGATTTAGAAAGTAAGAAGAAAGAAAGAAAAGAAAAAAGAAAAAAAGTAGAAAATGAGAAGATTAATGAAAAAGTTTTAATGTACAATTATCCATAATCAATATCAATTGAAAGATACTACCTTTTAATAAATAAATAAAAAATATATACATTTTTATCTTCAAGAGTGGATATCTAGGGATGGCAATGGGTCCCATGGGGGCGGGTAATAGTAAACTCGCCCCGTCCCGCTGGATGAAAATTGGCCCATACTCATCCCATATCCGCGAGATATTCATTAAGCAGGTATCCATGAATTTCTTGAATACCCATGGATATTCATGGATATCCATGGATATTTATAAATTTTTTAAGAAATTTAAAAATTATATTACAAATAATTTTAAGTTTATATTTAATGTCATTGAAATATTAAAAATAAAAATTTAATGTTAATTTTGAACTTGTATTTAACGTTAATTTTGTTGAAATAATAATAAAAATGCAAGATAATCAATAACATAAAATACATCAATCTCACAAGTAAGTTAAAGTTTCATCACAAAACTATAATAATTCAATCTCTCATAATTTCAAACGCAAGTAAACAACTTAAAATACATAAATTTTATTGGTCTAATCAAAGCTAGAAAATTAATTAAATTACATCCAACATAATTCTATAACATGTTTAACGCATGTTGGTAACTTAATCAACTTCTCTTTTGTAAGAAAAAAAGATGAGAGAGTATAGTTTTAGAGTTATGTGGTACAAGGATAATTAGGATATTTAAGAAATATTATTAAACAGGTACCCGCGCGTATGGATATCATCATACCCGCCCCCGCCCTGTCTATAAATGGGTAAAAAATTATTCGTCTCCATTATCCGCAGGTACCCAATTAGCCTATCCATTTATTATTCGTAACAGATTTTACCCGCAGATACCCGCGGATGCGGGTATTTTTGCCATCCCTATGAATATCAAATCAAACTCTTGACTTTCTTTCTTAATTAAATTTTTAATTACTTAGAATACTACTTTGCATTAAATGGCTGATATATACCCTAATCTAAGATATCAACCATCATTATTTTGTTAATTACTTCTATCTATCACTCGAAAAAGGATTACGCAAGCCTCCAGTTTATATACATAATTAACCCTCCCATTCCCATCACATGCAATATTTTTAATATATATTTTTGTCCCTTTGATGCCGCGGCTATATAATTGAATCAAGGACAATATATAATTGAAATCACATCGATCAACATGGTACATTTCAAGCATATCCAACCCCTTTTTATGCGCACTTTACTTATTTGTTTAATTATATAAGCATTAGTTTTGGGTTAAGAATTCATTGTCAAAGAATTCTTGGCATAACTGTGGCCCTGCATAATATATATATATATA